TCTACCGCCGCGAATTTTCTAGCACGCATCAGTATATATATCGAGCACGAAAAATTTGTTCGTGTTTGGCTCGTTTGTTTAGCGAAGGAATCGAACAGGAGCTACTTAACTAGTTGAACACGAGTTGTTCATAAACAGTAAGCCGTTTCGATAGCCCTAATTATAAATATCACCAACACAACTCAAAAACCTATCATTCGCACTTAACCCGGACGTCTGAATCTAATAATTTATCGTGTGATAGTGTCAACAAGAAACCGAGCAAAAAAATATTGTATCCAGACGGATAGCATTTGTACGACTGATTGTATTGTATTATTATTATATCACAATACTATCAATACTATCAAAAAAAAATTATCATTCGTAAAATATTTTATTTTGAAACCGAGAGGCATGTTACATACAATAGTACAAATTCAAATATTCACATATATAATTACTCTTACAGATTATACTGATCGAAATAATCCAAATAAAATTTCACTACAAATTGAAACATTAAATCGAAAAATGAGAGGTCTATCAGTAAATATGAAAATTATTTCCACAGTAACTCAAATGACAGAATAAGAATATAAATAATTTTTTTTTTACTAATATAATATATAGTTTTCAAATTCATGATAGTTTTTTTTTTTTTAATTGAAGTATGAGACATAATATTTTAAAGTTTAATTATATGTGAATCTGATGCATGCCAGAAAATTCGCGACGATAGAGTAACGGATTATCGTCTTAGCGTTGTACAAGAATTCTACACACACTCAGATGAAAAAGAAAAAAAACTATAAATACTCCAGAAGTTTTTACGTGGAAAGCCCGTAAAGTGAAAATCCACGGGGTCAGACCCAGTTGCGAAAAATTCACTATTGATTGATGATTACAGCAATCACTTATCACACAGACGGGAAATGGTAGCTATATTTTTCAGATTACAACGTTGACTGACATCTTCTGGTTAGTGGTGATCGATGACGGTTGGCAGAGGTCGACGACGATCGGCGATGGTCTTTGGTGGTCGGCGACGATTGCGATCGGCGGTGTTCAACGACGATCGACGGTGATGCTGAGATGCAGATGATGCTGAACTGCATCTTTATCCCCCTCATGAGAGGAATGAAACTCTATTTATAGTGTTTTTGGTGCAATTAATGCATGAATATGAATCATTTTGATCAGACGATCCAGAGAGCTTCCCTCGATCATACGGCGTTTACTGGACATTTGAGTTCCTTAATAATGTCAGAATTAAGTGATCTTAGGCTCGTTAGATTCGTCTTATCGAGTCGATAGATTCAAGTCTAAACTTGTCATATTCGACAACTTTTTGATCTTTCAAATGTGTTGGAAATCATCTAACTGTGGTTCAATGACTTGATGTGGGCTTGATTTCACTCGGATTGGGCTAGTTTTCATATCATTAGGTCTGTCTCATTAAGTTGGTCAGTTTGACTATAAATTTGCTGAAATTGGAGCTCTGGATGACTTTTTATCAAGTTTTAAATGTTGTCTGTTTAAAATATCATTTCGAGATTCATGTCATGTCGATGATGATACTTTGTTGGCGGCGTATGAGTATCTTTAATCTAAATCTTTTATATATAGTCATCATGTCAAAGTCAAAAAGTTAAAAGAATGAGCCGCTGCAATTTTTAAAATCAAGGCTAAAATTTCAATAATTTAATTTGTTCTAAAGCAGAAATGCTCTTTGGGCTTTTGCATACAATCACTCAATCCCATTGTATTTATACATCTAAACTCCTAAACTATATGTTTATTACATTAATACCATCCAAATCTTTTACATAACATTAAAAAAAATCAACATTTTAAGTTTAGAAAGATGAAATACTTATTTTCATGCCTTAGATAAGATGACGTAAAAATTGAAATTTAGGTATCAGATCTGTAAATGCATAGAAATTAAGTGGTGTGTATGTGTACGACAAAACGAGTTAGTATTAATCGCACAGGGATCCAACAGTCCAAAATGAGGAATATTATGAAGAAATATCATTTGCAAGGAGATTGTGGGACCTATTGAGTCCGTCAGCCGAGTTAACCGAGTCAAAAACTGACGAGAGGATGGTTGGCCCTGCACCGACCAAGCAACTCACCCGGAAAGCTCACCAGAATGACGTTCAGAACCTTAACCAAGGGAAAGCCGACTCAATACAAAAGCTTATCCTGCAGCAGAGCCCAAATGTGGTAATGGTTGATTCCACGAAGAATCTTCGATCATCCAACGAAGACCAAAAGGCTTCTTGCCATAAGTAGGATCTTTGAGCCCACCAAATTCACCCGACCGAGCCGAGTCAATCGAAACCACCAATCAGGATAATCGAGACCGAGAAAATACTAAATATGACAATATAAATGATGCACTTTCACTTTTTAAAAATATTTTGAGAATAAAATACAAATTAAGGGGCATTTGCGTATGCCACACAAATGTTAGGTATGGCTCATATACCAAAAAATTTGGAGTATCTTGAAATTGAGAGGTGTGTCTTCTAGAATGAAAAGAATTAAGAGGTGCGTCTCTTGATGTGAAGAGGATGTGTCTCTTGGATTAGTGGGTTGGGGGGAGCGAAGGCGTGTTTGTAAATTTATATGCTTGTTTTATCTATAAATAGATATATAACCCTATGGGTATGTAACTGGACTCCTCTGAAATAGTAAATTTGCCGCTCTGCACCTGATGATGTTGACATCTTTGCCGAACCTCGTTAAATCTCTTTGTGTTCTTCTGGATTTATATCGATTTTCGTTTTTCTTCGCCCTAAATTTCTCAACAATTTGTATCAGAGAGAGATTAGATTAGAGGAGTACAATAAGAAAAAATAAGAAGTTCGAAGCCTAGTGTTTCTAGAGTTTTCGACGGTTCGGAGGTTGGAGGCAGTTCCGATTTCAGCCCAGAGGAGGAAGAACTGCAGCAGTTCTTCGGGCGATTCGGCACGCGCGGTTGGGACGATCGTTCACGCAAAGCAGATCTTTCGCTATAGACAGATCATTCGAGCGGGATCCAGATTTCAGTCTTAAGGTGGATGAGTTTGCGAATTGTTTCGCTAATCGTCGCGACTGCGAAGGAGTTCTCGCGGCGCTAGCAAGCTAGGGTTAGCGATTTGCGACAAACAGCGTTCGCAGGTTGTTCGCAGAGGGGTTCGCGGCAGGGGATTTGCGGGTTCGTAGAGAAGTTTGCGGTGATCGCAACCAGGACTCGCAAACGTGTTCCGGTCAAATCACGACAGATTCGAGAGAGATGGTTTCACGATGAGGAGAAGGTTTCAGCAGCTTGGATCGCGACAGAGGAGACTTCACGCATGCGACAGGATCGCAGGCGAGAGGATTCACGGTGAGCGGAGGATCGCGACGGGAGTTCGCGACATTGGCGAATTCACAAACGCAGAACATTTCGCTGAGGTTTGCGAATTCGGCGAGGAGCAATTCCCGCGATTTAGGGGAGACGAATCTCGGCAGGAGGTGTTCGCGAAGGGCCTCAAAGTTCTGCGAGAGGAGTACTTCCAGTGGCAATTTCGAGCGGGATCCGAAGTTCAGTCTCGCGGAGGAGTTCGCGAACCGTTGCTTGCAAGAAGGAGTTCCGGCGGCCTTCACGAAGAATCAGTTTGCAAGCAGTTCGTGCAACAACCCAGTTTCGCAGAGGAGAGGAGTTTGGTGGCAAATAGAGTTTGGCCAGCGGAGTTCGCAAGTTCGTTTTGCGAACAGAGAGTTTGACCAGAGGGGGAGTTCACAAGTTTGTCGCTGGAGGAGTTGCGACAGGTGGAGTTTAGCAGGGTGCAGCTGCAGCGAGCATGTTCGACTATTCGCGAACAGTGGTTTCACGAAGGTATTTCGTGAAGGGTTTCGCTCGCGGAACAGCCGAGACAACAATTTAGCCGAGGTGTTGACGCAAACAAGAAAAGTGCTTCGTGTGAAAATTTTGATTCACGAATCACAGCTGAATTGCAGATAATTGCTGCAATTGGCAGAGAAAATTTCAGGTTTCTTTGAATTTATTTGCGGTGTGTTTTTGTTTTGACATAAGACATGAAAAGTTTGCTGCATAATTAATTTCAAAAGGTAATGTCTGGTGCAAATTTTGAAATAGTGAAATTTGATGAAACCAGGAACTTCGGATTGTGACAAACAAGGGTGAAAGATTTGTTAGCACGACATGGAATTTTGAAGACTTAGCGAGCTACAAGACCTAATGATATGTTGATCAAGCTAGGTACTCTCAACAATTTCTTGTATTGCTTGAACTAGTTGAATGTTTGCAATTGCTAGATAACATGGTTGCCCAACCCACTTCGGTGTAAGAAACTCCATGATGTATTTCTTCTAAAGGGTTGGATATTCACAAGGTGAAGATTTTTCTCCTAAGGGGCTGGATATTCGCAAGGTGGAGATTTTCTTCTAAGGGGTTGAATATTTGCCAAGGTGGTGAATTGTTAGGTATGACTCTTATACCAGAAAATTTGAAGTATCTTGAAATGAAGAGGTGTTTCTCCTGGAATGAAAAGAGTGTATCTTGGTGTGAAGAAGTGTGTCTCTTGGATTTGTGGGTTGGAGGGAGCGAGTTTATGCTTGTAAATTGTATCTATGGGTTTTATCTATAAATAGATATGTAAATCTTTGGGCATGTAACTCTGAAATAGTGAATTTGCCGCTTTGCTCCCGATGATGTTTGCATCTTTGCCGAACCTCGTTAAATCTCTTTGTGCTCTTCTGGATTTGTGTCGATTTATGCTCTTCTTCGCCCTAAATTTCTCAACAACAAATCCTATCTATCACATAAACTTTACTTCTTAAAATTATATCACCCAAATCTTTCACATTAAAATTTCACCATCTTAACTTTTAAAAAGTGAAACACACCTTTTAACGGAGAGACAGTGTGACATGTATGTAAAATTAAAGTCTGACTTCTAGTTATGTATATATGCATAGGACTTCAGTGGCATGTACGTAAATCTTTCATTAGGAATTTAATAAAAATAAATAAGTGTGGTTAGGGGCTTTTTTCTAAAACTTTTGCATTTGCATGAGAATCTGAAAAATGGAAGAAGAAGAAGAAGTGCTGGTAATGTAAAATAGCAAAGCTTCGAGGGGTATGTATGTAATTGCACCTAAAAATTTTATGCAAGACTTCCAATTCATTACTATCGAAAAAAGTGAAATATAAAGTTTTCCATACACACATAAGATGATATATATGTAAAAATGAAAGTTTGATTGTCAAGATATGTAAATATATAAGAATTGAGGGGCATATATGTAAATCTTCCATATATATTTGGAATATTTAATTATAAAACGAGAACTAAAATCAGAATAAAAAACTTAATTAAAATCATCAAGATAACTAGGAAAGTGCTACCAGTATATATTTTATGAAATTTTTTCTTTTACTTATTTTATTTTTTTCTCATAATATTATAAATTTGAGTGTATAAGTACAGGTGTAAACGAACCGAACACGAACGAACAGAGCTTGTGTTCGTGTTCGATTCGTTTGAAATTTCATTTTTTTTTGAAATAAGCTCGTGTTCAAAATTGTTCGTGAAGTCACTGTTCGTGTTCGTTTCTTAACGAACAAGCCGAAC